CTTGTTGCCAAGAAGGCCAATGGCATTTTGGGATATATACGTAGCGGCATTGCCAGCAAATCGAGAGACGTGATTGTTCCCCTCTATTCGACACTGGTGAGGCCTCATCTGGAGTACTGTGTCCAGTTTTGGGCCCCACGCTACAAGAAGGATGTGGAAAAATTGGAAAGACTCCAACGGAGGGCAACAGAAATTATTAGGGGACTGGAACACGTGACTTATGAGGAGAGGCTGAGGGAACTGGGATTGTTTAGTCTGCGGAAGAGAAGAATGAGGGGTGATTTGGTAGCAGCCTTCAAATACCTGAAAGGGGGTTCCAAAGAGGATGGATCTAGACTGTTCTCCGTGGTAGCTGATGACAGAACAAGGAGTAATGGTCTCAAGTTGCAGTGGGGGAGATTTAGGTTGGATATTAGGAAAAACTTTTTCACTAGGAGGGTGGTGAAGCACTGGAATGCATTACCTAGGGAGGTGGTGGAATCTTCTTCCTTAGATATTTTTAAGGTCAGGCTTGACAAAGCCCTAGCTGGGATGATTTAGTTGGGGATTGGTCCTGCTTTGAGCAGGGGGTTGGACTAGATGACCTCCTGAGGTCCCTTCCAACCCTGATATTCTATGATCCTATGTGTGTAGTATCTGCCTGCCTCAGGGCATCGAGTTAGAAATCCTACATCTTCGCACACCAGCTGGAGTGAACTGAGTGTTGTGTGTGAATGGGGGTAGTTAGGAGAGAAGGGAATTAATAATGAAAAGGCAAATCTTTTGACACAGTTAGATAAAGCTTACACGGTCACCCCCATCATAATATTTTGTTCTGAAATAGTGTTCAATCAGAGGGCTTTTGTACCTGATGGCACTTATGTCATCTGGGATGTTAATGGAATATCTGTACAGCAGTGAATAACATCATGCAGCTAAAGAAACGGGGATGAGAATGGATACCTGAATTCTATCTCCATCTGTAACCAGCCAATCATAAAAGACTGAATGGTAGGCACACATATCTGAGTAAATGTGTCAGGATCTCCCATCTGCTTTCTTTCTGCTAAAAATAACCTCTTTTCCTACACATTTTTTAAAATCTGGACTGATTCCGTTAGTATTCAGGGAGGTCATTAGCTAATATTTTGGAGTCATGGTAAGATTAACATCACTGAGTTAATACTGATGTTTTTAAAAAACCTGTATATTTCACTGAAATGGGCCATGAATGTAAAATCTGAATTGATGTGCAAAGTGTGAAATTTAAACTGTAATTTCACATTAAAATGTTATCTGGAAGGCCAGTTAAACCCCTTTGATTTTATATATGTTTAGAGCACGTAAAATAAATGTCATTCTGCAGCAGAGAAATATTTTGATTGGCCATAAGAATTAATTATTCTTTTTTATTGTAATCTATTATCTCCTTTGTTCTATCTGCAAATGAATTCTACATTTTGGCTGAGGCAGAAAGTGAATTAATGCAACTGTAATACAGTTGAGGGTGGGATGAGAACATGATTGCACTGAAAATCACATCTAATAGAAGAGGCATATCCTGATATGTCTCTTTCATTTAACTGAGGCAGTCTGTTGAAGTGTGTGAGAGAGCTCCTGCACTCAGAAAAACATCTTAAGAATGCAGAGGAAGTACAATGTAAACCTGGTATGTAAAGAAGCTAAAATCATTAGCCCAGTAAATCTGTCATATGGTTAATGCTAATTTTTTATATCCCTTATCAACAATCATCCATCCATGACAGCAGGGAGCTGAGGCTAATTATTAGTGATAAGTTAACCTTTGGTATGGACAAGCATTCAAAAGTTCCATTTCCACATCTGGCCATGACTCAGATATTTGTCCAGATGCAGCTGTTGGGCTTCCTTGTTGCCAGCATCTCCACCTCTTTATTATGAGGACACGGTTCTACCTTCCCCCTTTGTGACTGACTGAAGGCAGTTACCACTCTGGTTCTTCAAGGGTGCTGTGTTTCAAGCAAGTGGTGGCTACAGTTCAGTGGTGAGTGACTTAAGGCACATGCACCTGGGTGTATTCCGAGACCTGGCGGCTCCCAAGATAGGAGATGTTAATGTGACATCATATGTAAGAATTTTATTTCTAATTTTTCTTTCCCCCAGAGACAAATACAATTGGCTTCCTGGTAACTAAGGTACTTGATTTTTATAGCTGGAAGGATACAAGAAGTGATCCCACTGAAACTTTCCAAAATTATCTAAAAATGTCTAAAATAGTTACTCAGTAAATAAAAGTCTGTGTACAGAATGCAGTGTTTGACATTTTATGAAGTGCTCTCAAGATTTTAGATTAAATTCTGGAAAAATTAAGCATGAACTGAAAATGAAGCATATGCATAAGTGTTTTCAGCATCTTTAACAGCACTTGTTTGGGATGAGTAGAGTAACTTGCTCATGACTTTGATACCAGAGTTGTTAACAATCCCAGATTTAGTGTCAGAGACCAGTATGTGGGTGGTCATGTCTAGTGGTTAGAGCAGGAGTCAGGTCTAGTGGTTAGAGCTGGAGTCAGCATTCAGGAATTGGAGCTCAGGGTTGGAGCTGGAGTCAGAGGCCAGATGCCAGAGCCACGGGATTGTACCAGGGATGAGCTTGACTCTATTGGCATTACTACCTTGGTGGAGAAGAGGTGTATAGAAGGAAAAGTATCTTCTTTCTGCACTTTACTTCAAGTTGTTGTCAGGATATTTAGAAGTTGGAGTCTGGCAGGTCTTCTCCAGGGGAACATTTTGGGTAAAAGTGTGCATTGTGGAAGCAAGTGGAACCATCAGGAGCGTATACAGGAGGTCTGTAGGAGGCAAGCTCTGCATAATTAATCCTCCTTTTAAAAGTGGCTTTTAATAAAAGAGGGGTTTTGGTGTCTCCCCTGGAAACTGTATTGTGAAGAGTACATTTAAGAATTGGATTCTGTATGGACAAGGCAAAAGGATGGCAGCACCTCAACTGGTGTAAATCATCTTAGTTCTATTGAAGTCTACTTGAAATCATCTTTCACCCTTTAATAATGGGGCCCTTTATTTCTAACTATAAGAAAGATCTACTGTTATAGCATGAGGTATTCTGAGAAAATAGCATATGCCTGGTTCAGGCTGCTGGAATGTGACCATAACTCTAACCAAGAGTAGTTGCAACCACCATCACCACACGAATATAGGCATAAAATGGAGGGAGAGAAATGTCCTTTCCTACCAAGAGAGGGAGTGGTCATAAACCAAGTGACAGTCATGCTGAGTCCTGTCTGGAGACATCAAAATTTCCAAGTAGGGTAAACGAAAATTCCCACAGCATTTTTAAAAAACGATTATCATCCAAGTCAGCCTAAATTATTTAACCCGAAAGAATATAGGCAGTGATATTTATTTAATGTGAGTACCCAGAGTACCTACTAGCCATACATACACCCAGGCCAATAATGCCTGTATCTCTTTGCGGTCTGGAATGTAGATGCACTGCTAAGTGGGTGAGTGGGTGGCTGTCAGACTCCTTGACCTTCCTGGTGGCTCAAGGAGCAGCATGTCTACCTCTAAACTGCCTGATTGGTGTAACATTAGGACCTCTCATTCACTGCTCTAGTTCCCTCTTTGTTCCCTTTATTTCCCCTTTAGCTGTTTTAATACCTTTGCTTTTGTCCCAAATCAAAGCTTGAAATTTAGAGGGGAAAATCACATGTAACAATGTCATGTAATTTAAAAAAAATCTGCCCAACATTAATAACACAAATCAATGACAGAAGACTCCTATCCCCACACAGCAATAACCGGCCATCTTCTTTCTTCAGATGTACAGAGCTGTGGGATATGTGCCAAGGACTATAATAAAATGTAGGAACAGCAGTAAATAGAATATGTAGCATTATTGCTGGATTAAAGATTGGTTGGCAAATTTATTTTTGTTAATGCACAGAACCTTACTGAAATTGAAACGGTGTAACAGTGTTTTACTACGTAACCTGAGTTCATTATGGTAGGAAAATTACAGCATAATACATATAATTGCATCTCTGCAGTTGTTTTAAAGAAGTATAATGAAGACAGAATTATGATCTCTATTCTAGCCCTCCTGAAGGCAATTTTCAGAAGAGCATTAATTTTTCACATGTATTTAACAAAGAGAGCCTTCCTAGTGGCACCACCAGTTAGCAACGTCTCCTGCATCACCATATTGATGATTAATCTTTTAGTGGAACAGGAAGAATTCTAGCGTGACTTTACTTAGAGTGGAGTCTACAGAGAATCTATTAGCACATGGCTGTGTGTTGGAGAGAGTCATGGAACTCCCATTAGCACAAATGGCAATTATGTGTATAAATCTCATGCGAGAATCAAAATATGTCCTTAAATAGCACATTGGCAACATAATTATCACCTGTAACACAGCCATTAAAATGATTTCTTATTGCTAGTTTTAGATCAAGTCCAAATTCCATCCAATGGTAAACAAACATCCTTGTTTCTGTGGTCTGGGTTGATGAGATAATTGGGTTGCTGACAGAGTTTTCTAGTTTTTTAACAAAGGTTTTTTAATAGTTTGCTTACTCTCTGTGTTCACTGATATTATAAAAACAGTTACGTTTTAGGGTTTTTTTACTAGCATAAAAAAGCACTTTATAATTTTAAGCATATATCTGTAACAGTAACCATTGAACAAACAGGTTAGTGATAGATCTGTATTCCATAGTATTTCCCCCCTACTTTTCTATTTTTTTCCCAATAAAGAAAATGTTTGACTCCACATAGACTGGGCCCTGAATATTTACTTTCAGTAGTGAGTTGTCCCATTTGCTTTAGTAGTGCTACATATATAAGCAGAGACCTGCAAGATCAAGACCTTTAGATCAGAGACCTATTTCATGAAAAATATTTCAAGAAATATTTGTAATGCAGTTTATTGTAAAGCAAAGAACTAAAAAAGAAACATCTGCAATGCACCAAAATGTTTTCATATTCTGTGTTTTAATTATACTAATTACCATTTTTAATCAGATTGGAAGCAAAAGTCCATTGGAGATAGTAAGTAAATGAAAAAAATAATTGCATGTTGTGTGCTTTGATTTTCATTTAAATTCTTACTGCTATACACGTTCTCGTATTCACTCTGTTATGAACTCAACAGAAGAATCACAATTTCTTAACCAGCATGCTATGTATTTCAAATAAATGCATGTGTGTCACTTTTATTTAAAGCAAGCCTTCTGACTGCTGCTTCTTAAAGACTAGATTTCAAGCTTCCACTTGAAAATATTTTGCTTTTCTTCAGTCAGTGTGATTTTCTAGATCCAATGGATCAATCATATGTATCTGATTGGTTTGTTACTTTCTGTATATAAATTAAAGCTGCTTTTGGTAATGTGAAGCAAAATCTACGGTTTCTAGGGTGTTTTCTTTTAAATTACAGGGCCAATTCGGAAGTGAGTCTGAATCTATGGGACTCTAAGGCCTGGTCTACACTAGGGAATTAGATTGGTATAACTATGTCACTCAGGGGTGTGAAAAATCCACACCTGAGCTACGCAGTTAAACCAACATAATGCCCACTGTAGACAGCACTAGGTCAAGGGATGAATTCTCTGATCAACCACTTCGGAGAGGTAGTTTACCTTCATCCACGAGAGAACCCCTTCCATCTGCGTAAGTAGTGTCTTCACTGAAGCGCTTCAGCGGTGTAGCTGCACTGCTGTAGTGCTTTAAGTGTAGACAAGCCCTAAGTAATTTACACAGAGAATGGACAGAGGAAAGGAGCATAGCAGGAAAATCAGATAACCAGGAGCATGTACAAAAGGTGCAGATTTAAATTAGCTCAAACCCTACTTCAATCTATACCTTCTTCAAGCCTCTTCAAGCATCTATAGGCCTTATCTGTATTAGAAAAGTTGCACTGATTGATTTCAGTTTTGATTCACAGATTAATCTAACTGAACTGGCGTAAATCTGAATTGTACAGGCACCTAAATTTATTTAATCTTTAAATTGCATTAGATTAATTCAGTAAATTACTGTGCTAAATTACTGACATAAGCTAAATTGATTTATAAAGGGTTAATCTGGTTTAAGATCCTGATTTCATTAAAGTACTCAACCAAGTGCTTGTTTCCTGGATTGAGGTTCACACCAGTTTGTCTTGATCAAGTTTATGCAGCTTTTCTAGTATAGATACCCGTACCCCTACTTACTGATGTGTAATTTTGTATCACTTTATACATCAGCTTTGAATTTAGCCCTTTAATTTAGAATGAACTCTGAAGCTAAACATGTCCTCCCTTTGATGTAGAATGGTACAGAGGTTAATATTCTATTAGTCTGTGAACTACCCAGTTCTAACCATGCTGAAGTTTGTTTTGTCCTGCCTATGTTGGCCAGGAAACTGTGTTAACACTTAGCCAGCAAGAGCAATATTTAAACACAGGTCTGGCTAATATGTTTTTCCTGCAGTATAAACAGTGCTTGAGTCTTCATATTGCAATGGAGAAGTGGAGATCAGTCTCAAACCTATATGTCACTCTAATATTTATACTCTGTTTTGAAAGTGGCATTCTGAAATCGTAACTAATTGCTTATTCTGGATGACCTCATGTATTAGAAGTTATATCTGTACACATTTTTTAATGCAAAACTACGCTATTCTAATATTTCTGTTGTCTTAATTGCCTTCTGATTAGCTCTGTGTGAGTGTGAAAATTTCCATATGCTGTTTGCTCGACACCCTTTCAAAATAAATACCATGGCTAGATTATCACATTATACCCATCTAGCCTAACGGCCTGCTATTTTATGTGATTAATATTAATTATACTAATTCAGGGGTGGCCAACCTGAGCCTGAGAAGGAGCCAGAATTTACCAATGAACATTGCCAAAGAGCCACAGTAATATGTCAGCAGCCCCCCATCCGCTACCCCCCTCCAGCCCCCAGTGCCTTCCGTCCACCAGCAGCCATGCCAATCAGCGCCTCCTCCTCCTTCCCCCCCCTTCCCATCCGCGGCAATCAGCTGTTTCGCAGTGCGCAGGAGGCTCTGGTGGGGACGGGGGAGGAGCAAGGGCATGGCAGGCTGAGGGGAAGGGGTGGAGTGGTGGCAGGATCTGGGGCAGAGCAGGGGGTTGAGCAGTGAGCACCCCACAGCACATTGGAAAGTTAACATTTGTAGCTCCAGCCTTGGAGTCAGCGCCTATGCATATTAACCTCCGCAGAGCTGCATGCGGCTCCAGAGCCACAGGTTGGCCACCCCTGCACTAATTGAAAAAGTTCATTAACGTTTAAAATATTCATGTTTGAATGTAACTCTGAATATCTATATAAAAGTTGCATTACAGTGTAGGGTGGGGTACTTATCAATGGAAAGGCTCTCATTGATTTCAGTGGGAGCTGGATCAGACCTTTACTTAACACAGTTACCAGCAACACGCATAATATGGTGCATCAAAACTTTTGAACTTGTCAGATCCTGTTTGCAACCATGTATTTCTGTCTATTGTATGATTTAACATAGCACCCCTCACTGTGATATGTATGGACTGAAATAGCTTCTAACTTCTTCCTTTCAGCAGCCTGATTTAAACATTTTATGAGTGACTAAACTGTTCATCTGCCATTCTTTCTAATGATTATAAATTTCAGAAATGCCATGTAGAGCTTTTCCTTATTTTTACTAGAGCTAATTCCTAGAACATACTATATAGCCTGTAAGAAGAAGCATATAAACCATCCTGTATCATTGAGTGATACATCAGAACCAGAAAAACATGGACAATAATTGATCATAATCCATTATTATAGCCAGAGGATTAGAACAGGCAGCAAATCCTCTTGATGTCAATAAATACCCCTCCTGTAAAAAACAGTGCAAGCACTATAAGTATTTCTAATCGTGGCACAGAGTTGAGAGAGACAGGATACAGTTTATAATACCAGCTTCACAGGGTAATTAACTAGCAGTGACATAACTAAGTCATGGTCATAGGAGTTTCCTTACATTGTACCAGCTTTGTGAAACTAGCATCATACTCCTAAAAACCCCTGCAGGGAAGTGGGTTCAGAAGAGGTTGGCCGGGTGTGAAGGAAAATGAAGCCTTTTCTCCAGCTCTTCGTACATAAACTGACCATTTTAAAATGTGCTTGTATCAAGTGAGGAAATGTAGAAAGATGGGTATCCTATCCCTAATCTTTTAAAAAGTGTCACTCACCACTTTTACTTAAAATATGATGTTATCCCATAAAAATCCCTTTATGATGTTAAGTTATTGACACCGGCTTAAATGCCGCAGAAGCCTAGTTAGTAAGCAACTAAGAGGACTAGATTGCTCAGGGGATTAGAAATGTGATATGAGAAGCCTTTCACTACCAGGTATTGGTTTTAGTCCAGTTCAGTAGTGATCAAAAATTGCTAACATCTGATGGTTAGTGGATGGTTTTGTGTGCAACAATGAATTCATCTCTGGCCTGTTTTCAGTGGACAAGTGTCCACATCACAAAAAAACAACCACCACCAAACTTTGCCAGTTCTGTTGGTTAAGAGTATTTTGGTCTCCAGAGCTGTCAGTCTGCCACCTTTCATGAGCACTAAATTCACATATGTTTAAAAAATACCTAATTGTATATAATTTCTGCACAAATGTAATGCAAGATGAATGCATTATGGAGTTAGAACTATAAGTGTACTCCATATAGATCCATTACTTTACATGTATCTGTTCTTATGACAAATGTGGCAATAACAGGAGTGTAGACAACTTTTTTTGAAGGGTGGGATGGAGCTAGAGATAAAATAATAGCTGCTGAATATCACTTTAATGCGTAGTCTTGCACCATAACTAAATTTATTCACTTTTATTAAAGTGAGATAAATGAGCTTATGTTCCAAACTCAGTTTCCTTTATTTATTAATTGAATCCCAAAATGTGTGTTGAGGGGACAGGTCTAAAGTCATCATGACACCTCCCCTCTCCCCCAGTCGCCTAAGCACATGAACAATTGTAATTTATTATGAACAAATTACAAAGCCATGGAAATACTGACAAAACCTTATCTGCAGAGGCATTTTGCACAGTAACAGGGACCTGGCCTTTTTTGTCTGTTTTGTGGGTGTAATGTTTAATTCTATAGAATCCATGTGGAAATTTAGCTTTAATTAGTATGAAGAATTACATGTAGCAAGATGCACTCAAAAATCATTATTTGTATCTCTTTGAACTACTGAGGCTTGTTTTCTTTTGCAAATTTCTTGTCTTGTATTTTCTGGCTGTGTATCTGAGAGCCTGGAGAGTTACCAGGTTTACCATCAAATTTGTATTTATGCTTGACTTTATGATGGAGAAATTCACCATTTTGAGTAGTAAGCTTACTAAGATTAGTCTGCAGTATCTTAAGATGTTTTAATTCAAGACACTAAGATTCCTTTTGTGAGAGCTCTCCAATCCTGCAGTTTCTTCATCTAGAGCCTTAATTCTGGTAACTTGCAAATTATTTTTTCTCTATTCGAAAGACAATTATCTGTCTTGCTCAAAAACTTCTAGAGCCTCCTAACAGATAAAGGGAGAAGTTCCATGTTAAGGTTCTGATCCCAAAATGTAGTGGTTTGATGTTCAATAAATGGGAGGAATTTAATTAAAAAGGGATAGGTGTTAAGCAGACAGGGGAACCGGTTTAGTGGTCACTTTTATTTTTAGAGGTTCAATTACCCACTGGAGAAAATAGGAATTCAGATTAATCATCTGTACAAGAGCATGCCTCATGGAACTGAAGACTACTGGCCAAATATTTAGATTAAAATGATGCTGAATACTAATGTGTATATATTGGCTGCTCACGGAGAAATTTCTCCAAAGAAAATAGGCACCTTAAAAAAATAATCCCAGTTGTCATCAAATGCAGATTATTAAATAAGGATTTTTTGTAAATGTTTAAATAACTGTTGTGACAGGGTCGGGCCAGATGGCTATAGGAGAGTAACAGAAAGCACATATATTAGCCCCAGGCTAAGTAGGTCTCTTTTCCCTGGGTAAGGTAACAGGGAAGGTTCCAGAACAATCAGGAACCTTCTGGAGACAATTAAGACAGGCTGATTAGAACACCTGCAGCCAATCAAGAAGCTGCTAGAATCAATTAAGGCAGGCTAATCAGGGCACCTGGGTTTTAAAAAGGAGCTCACTTCAGTTTGTGGTGAGGAGCTGGGAGCAAGAGGCACTAGGAGCTGAGAGTGAGAACGCGGACTGTTGGAGGACTGAGGTGTACAAGCATTATCAGACACCAGGAGGAAGGTCCTATGGTGAGGATAAAGAAGGTGTTGGGAGGAGGCCATGGGGAAGTAGCCCAGGGAGTTGTAGCTGTTCCAGGAGGCACTCTAGACAGCTGCATTCCACAGGGCCCTGGGCTGGAACCCGGAGTAGAGGGCGGGCCCGGGTTCCCCCCAAATCCTCCCAACTCCTGGTCAGACACAGGAGGAGTCGACCTGGACTGTGGGTTCAGAAAAACGTCCAAGCTGAGGGCTGCCGTGAAGCTCCAAGGCGAGCAAATCCGCCAATAAGCGCAAGACCCACCAAGGTAGAGCAGGAACTTTGTCACACTTTATAAACAGAGAGGAAAACAAGGTAGGAATTAGAGAAGAGCCCAAAGTGGAACAGTAAACCCAACTCCCATCTCCACACCACCCAAAATTCTGAAAGATCAAATTGCACGCTTGAGGCCTGTATCTGGAAGGGAGTATATTTTGTATTAACATACACGAATATTGAATTATCAGCAGTGTCCAATGTTAACATATTTTTCTTTCCCAATTTTAATATTTTTTAAAACACTAACCATGTATTTGTAAATAAAATCAATTTATTTTCCTAGAATTACAGTAGAATTATACATATGCATATCTTTGTGGCATTTGACTGGATTGTTAACATTAGATGGGAATCGGGTTGGATAGTTACGAATGGTCAGATTTATTCTTGGTGTAATTCTGCTAAAGTCAATGGAGTTACGTCAGGGAAACATCTGATATTGTGTCTACAGTTTTTCTCCTTCTCATACAAGCATCTTCATACCTTCTTCCATGCAGCCCTATATGCCTGGAATGTTGCCCCTAATACTGTATATGCCACAAAATCTTCCTCTCCTCCTTGAAACCCACCTTTTTCCTACAAATCCTCAACTATCTATCTCCCTCCATCACAAAAATAAATAACTATAAAAAGAACTGTCATGGCTTCTGCAGCCCCACAAATTTATTAATTACTCATCACCCTTTCCATCAACTCTTGCCTGATATTATTTCCTCCAGCATCCTCTTGATGTCATACCCATACTCGTCTTAGATCATAAATGCCTTAAGACAAGGACTGTCTCTAATTGTAGTGTAACATTCCGTGCACACCAGTGGCACTGTATACAAACACATCATCACCCTTGCAGCTTCACTTGGACACGTTTTTGGACTCCACTTTCTATCTGTACAGTGCCTAGCACGATGTGTTCCTGGTCCATGACCAGGACTACCAGAGACGCTATAGTAATATAAATAATAATCATCCCAGTGAAATTTTGCTACTGCTGTTAAATAGCTGCCATGTTCCATTCAGGTGGTGAATAGTTATCCCACTTGACAAACCTGTAAAGTGCTTTGAGAGCTGTCTGTAAGTATGATTAGTTATGAGATGTGCTGGCCTTGTCATTATAAAGGTAATTCCTGCTTTGATAAGCATATACAAACACATTACATTCTTCTTACAGATTTATTTATCATTCATAATTTGGGCTAAGGGCTCTGCTCTGCAAATCCTTCTTCCTTTGTGAGTAATCCTTTCTCATGGAAGTCGTCCCTCTGATTTCAGTGGGACTCTTAACATGGATGAGAATGTCCTGGGGCTTAAACTAGTTTTGACTTCATTGTATCAAATAATTGGAAAATATTTTGTGGGGGAGGTCACAACAAAAAGCTGTTAAACACTCATTAAAAACCTTCCTTAAGTATTTGTGGGAAATGTCTGCAAACAAAATATTTTTGTCTGCCTGCTGATTTATGACACTTGAAGTGGCAGAGGTTATCCTATCTCACTCTGAGTAAAAGTCAAGCGAGGACAGGAATTTGGTTAGTACAAGAGGTCATTTCCAGGAAGCCTTACAGGTGGTGATAGTGCTGCAGAAATCCACACATAGACTTTTGCTTTCTAATTTTATCATTCAGTTAGTGTATCTACATATGAAGCCTATGTATTTAAGAATAAGTTTTGTTGTTGTTTTTTAAAAGACCACATTTCTTAAAGTTAATAGTCACTCAAAAGAGAACAAATTAAGGGGGCAATCCTGCTGCCATTAAAATCAGTGGGTAGTTTGACTTCAGTGGGAACCAGATTGACTTTTAAATCTAGCATCTATTTTACAGAGGCAGTTGACAGAAAATAACATTTAACATACAGTAGAGTACACCATACTCTGGGCACTGAAAGCCACTTGTATAGAAGTAGGATTCTTAGTGTTTTCTTTTATGTTTAGAAATCGGGTATTCTTGAAGATTAGTATTAAAATCTTCCTGGTACTTCCGTTGGTATATAGTAAATCTGGCAAACATTTCTCTCTTCACCAAAGTAACCGTAAACCTGCTTTTAACAAGTTGTAACTTGTAATCTGATTTGTTTTGTTTTAGATTGCTGTGGAAGTGTTTATGCTTTGCAAGACGTTTTAAAACTACTCTTCTTCTTCTTTTTAGCTTCTGGAAAAAACCAGCAACATTTTTGATGAACCAGATTCAGGAGCTACTAAAAGTCCTTTGCATTTAGCTGTAAGTATACGACACACGTTCAGTGTTTGATCGGATAAATAACCACTTAACCTCTGTGAAGTAAGTAGACCTGCATTGTAACAGCTGGAAAGGGACTTAGGACCAAGATTTTAAAAAATGCTTCCTTGATAGGGATTAAAAAAAAAAACCAACCAAAAAACGTAAGGGAGCTAGGTGCACAGTTCACATTGAATTTCCTTTGAAACTCTGAGCCCTAAATCCTTACGAAGGTATCTAACTAAGGGTATGTCTGCACTTCAAGGCAGAGGTATAATTTCTAGGTCTAGGAGACATTCATGTGCTAGCTCTCACTGAGCTAGCGTGCAAGCCACCCAAGTTACGTATCTAGCGTCTCTGAGGGAATGCATTTTGGGTGGTGAGTTGCTTGTGCCACCATGGCTACATTCTGTTTTTAGTGCACTAGCTTGATCTGCGCTAGCGTGGGTACGTCATCTGGAGCTGGGAATCACACCCCCAGCCCCAAGTGTAGACATACCTGACTTGGCTGGGTTTTCAAAAGTGCTGAGCACTCAGCAGCTCCCACTGTAGTCAAGAAGAGCTGCTAGCTGCTCAGCACTTCTCAAAATCCAGCCATTTATGGTCCCTAAAGAAGGATTTAGGAGCCTTACTTTAGGAACTCGGTTTTGGAAAATTTTGATTATACTTTTTTGCATCTACATGTGATTCTGAAATCTTTTGTATTACTGCCGGTGTATAATCATACTAATTATACTTAAAATGCAGGGGGTCCCTATCCTTCTCACATTACAGCAATGTAAAACCAATGTGAGTCAGAAAAGAGCCAGGCCCAGTAGGTATGCTGTAAATATTGAGGACAATCAAATCTTTAAATAAGGTTAATAGTCTGGTTCATACCTAAAAAACAGGAAATTCTGAGTCCTCAGGGTTAATCTTCCCTTAGATACATATGTATGCTTCCTGTTAATGTTAATAGGAGTTAGGCAGGGAAAGAATTAGCTTCTTTAATCCTTAGTTGATGCTATTTTTGGAAAGTCATAATTTTTAAGGGTGAAAAATAAGACTTGACTTGGAACTTCAATGACTATTAGTGGGTGTGGTTTTTTTTACATTTATATTTCCTTCTTGTAGGCCCTTTTCATGAACTGTTTCAACTATGCAGAGATTAATGCAAAAAACCCCAAGCAAAACAAAACAAAAAACCCCCAGCATGTGACTGAGTCCAATGATAAGCAGTGCAGTTCATGTCCACTAGAGTTGGGTGAACCGTGCAAATAATTTTCATGGATATTCACTGGAGTTTATAAATGAATAAGTTTCAGCTGGTTTCATCCCTCTTTTTTGTTTGAGTTTACTGGCTGGCATACATGTTCCCTGAAACATCAAATATAAACAAACTTTCAAGCTTGTAACTGTGAACATTTGCACCGGAAACCTCTTCTGAGAATTGCTCATATTCAATCAGAGACCAGAAATAGTCCATGTAACCTCAGTGTCCAGTCAAAATAGCACAGATTTTTACTTTACAGCAAAGTGCTTGCTCACAAATAAATCACAGCCCAAGGATTGTTAGAAGAAATTATTCAACAATTCAATTTGAATAATGTATAAATTAAAGAACATCACAATCAGTTTTAGAATGGGTCTGAACTGGAAAATGGGTGAAGTGTATCAAACCCTTTGTTTCAAATTATTTTGCTCTTTCTCTCGTAATGCATGTTCAGTGGTTTGTTTTTCACAAAACTCTCTCTGCAGGGTTTAATTTAAATTTTCCTGAAACTGAATGAGCAGTGAGACTACATGTTACCTGTGCTATCTGTGGATATACACAGGGTCCCTAGCATATGCACACACCTGACTTCTGATGATCACTGCATCTTGTTTTTGAAGCAGCTGTTTTTCTGAAAGTTGCTGTAGAAACTTAAAATTCAACTAAAATAAAATAAACAAAGTCCTGATCCTGCAAAGACTTAAGACATGCTTAAAATCATACAACTGTGAGTAGTTTTTTTTAATGGGACGACTCACAGCACTAGAGTAAGCGTGTGCATAATTCTTGGAAGGGTCAGAAGCCTACTGGAGAAAATATCTTCTGGTTTCCAGTTAGAGAGTTCACTAATTTAAGGGAGCCCCTTTTTCTGTTGTATTGATGCATTCAAAAAAATCTCCTATAAAGACAGCAAATTTGTCATGGGAAATTTTGCAAAAAGTCATGGATTTTATCAACAGTTGACTCTTTTTTTCCCACTCAAATTCCTTTTCACCCTCCTCCTACCCCATACAAACTTAATTTTGGCAATTCCTGACTTTTGGCGGCTTACCAGTGCAACTTTAAGGTTCTCTTAATACTGTCTTTTGTATGGAATACTGTGGGTTAAAAAGAGAGGGCTGGGGGAGGGGGACTGGAGGGAATGTTGACCAAAGGAGGGGCTCATTCTTGTGGACTTCCAAAGTTGCATGAGACAAAGCATTCCAGGGATGTCTAGCCAAAAAGTTCCACAATTTTTGGCAAGCCACTATTTTATTTTTAAATCAACCTGGTGCCAGAAGTTTTCTTCGTTTCCTTCTCTACCCATCCCCCATATCACATTGGCCTGAGGTCCAGGACAGGCAACAGAGTGCTGGACGAATGAGAGGTTTAACATCAACTATCTTTCATCCTGTCAGGGTTAGAAATGAGAGCCAAACACCTTTGTAAATGGGAAGTTCACCAGGCAGGCTTCTCCAATGAAGCATTCTCTGGCTTTTAGTGCCAGAAGGTCCCCAATATGTGAGACCCTAAAGCTGCAATATTAATAGGTAATTGAAATAGCTTTTCTGTATGTTTTACTACTGAGAATTTTTCTCTTCCACAGAGATCTCAATAATTAGGCTTATGGTACTAAGGTAATTTGGCCTCACTATAGAAGTAAATTTGACTTTAAATATCTAAAGTATTTTTTATTTAAAAGACATTCCATATAAAGAATATACAAAGATGGTGTGGGTATAAGTTTTATGTGCACTTCTTTGGGCTGGCATGCAGAACTTATTTGTGGCTGAGTAATGTGGCTGTGTCTGACTCACGCTGTTCAAACCTCTGCGGCACACTACGCCATGCTGTCTCTTCTCTCATATTTATATCCTGCATGTGTCATTACATTGAGCTATCTGTACACATTTGATAAGGCTTGATGCAGAAATGATTGGGTGAGGTTCCTTGGACTATGGCATGTAGATCAGAGACTAGATGTTCATTATTGCCTCTTATGTAATTAAAAAACACAAATTTTCAGGCACCTGAAACCCTCTGGCCTCCTATACCATTCACACTGGAATGTGGGAAAACCCACATGTACTTGGGAGTCTCAGGTCATAGAACCATAGAATAAAGTATCTCTGTATTATAGTTTCCATTGTGTTCAAATGACTATCACAATGAAAAATTGTGCTCCTGGGATGCACGTGTTGTGCTTTTCAGTCAGGAGAGTAGTGAGTAAGATCTGTATTGCTTTATTCCCAATATAACCTGTTTTGGATTTCTAGGCCTATAATGGTCATCATCAAGCCTTGGAGGTACTTCTTCAGTCTCTGGTAGACTTGGATATTAAGGATGAGAAAGGACGCACTGCCTTGGACCTGGCTGCCTTTAAGGGACATGCAGAATGTGTTGAAGCTCTCATCAGCCAGGGTGCTTCCATCTTGGTAAAAGATGACATCACCAAAAGAACCCCGCTCCATGCCTCAGGTGAGTGTAGTTGTATTTTATCTTGAGAGAGAGAACCTATAACAAGACAGAAGTTAGTAGTGATGTTTGCTTAGCTACCATCTCTTTTGAAGGTTATTGCTAACCTAATTAATTATTGGAGCATTGAGACTTCATCTTTGTGAACTGCCACCAGGAACTAGAGCTAACTATCTTTCCATTTCTCAACTTTCCCTTGTCCCCATGAAGTGCTCCACTTCTCCCCCTACAGCCTGACCCTAGACCTCATTCACCAGGGCTATTTCCTCTTTCCGCACCTATCTTCCTTCTCTGATGCATGATGGTTTTCCCCCACCCCACCTCATACTTGATGGTTTCAGGCTAGAGAGTCAGATGAAGACGTAAGTAGCAATGAGGCAGATCTTACAAGGAAAAAAGACTGAAAATCAAGGTGGATCCCACTGATGATGAAGTGAGATAAGTCCCACCCTGCCCTTCCACCGCCAGAAACCTTCAGTGGCCTTCTGCAACAGCACATCCCCCACCCCTTTATTTCCTCTAAAACCTAGAGAAAATCATCAGTTTCTAAGTGTTATCCACCTACCTAGTAAACTTCTTGGGAACCAGCCACTTCCATAAGGGTTAATAGTCTTTCTCTCCTTCGTTTGTTGAGTGTTCCTTAGCAAGTCAGGTACTCTAATTACAAAGTATGGAATTGGTGTCGTACATCTTAAAGGCTGTTCGTTAACATGTTAAAGATTTCTGGCTCCCCCCCTCTGATCTATGTATAGTTAACAAACAGAACAGTGAACCTACTTGTCATGGTACCTCATACTGATGGACTCAGTATGGTCCAACAGCAACCTCTAATGGCAAAATAGAATCAGTACATTGTTTGCTATAGATTCGTTTTCAGGGCCAGACTTACTTGTCTTCCTGCACAGCTGTTTTTTCTGTTTAGATTTTAGAGATGTGTGCACATTTTATTCTGACAGTTTTTAAAATGCAGTCATATATGCAAATGGGCAACACAAAATAAAATATGCTGTGTTTACTTTGTGTCTCACCTTTGTCTGCAGTATATTTTAACTGTATCTAAGGAAAACCTGGATTGTAGACCTGTGGTATAAATTAAACAATATGCTTTGGACTTCTTAAATTGTGGCTCAAAGACGCATATATTAATGTTGCCACAGTGCAGCAAAGAAGAGCTGTATGGCAACTGCACAAACTGATTATCAGAAGTCAGTGAATTTTTATTTAAAAAAAAAAAGAAGCTTTAGATGGTTGTCTAATGTGTCACTGAGTGTTGACTGTAAAACGCAGTGCAGATACAATGGTATAATTTCCTTTCGATACATCACATGCTCTAATTCCTGTATAGGATTAATAGTGCATGTGGTGCAAGAGGAAAATAGACACCATACAACGCCATGATTAAATGTAATATGTGCACATAAGATTTGCACTGTGAGAGATCCTGCTCTGCAGATGTGTTAGCCATAAGTATTGATGTCATTTGGTTTCCTTTCCTTTCACCTCATCTTCAAATTGTGCCTCCTGCTTTATTTCCATATGTTTATAGTTCTGTCAAAAAGTCCATGCCCTATTAAAGCTACTAAAAATTACATATATTTTCTTATTGCTCATATTTTTCAGTGTGTATCTATACCTACCAGAGTCCCGCCTTATCATGTTGAAGGCTCCTGGTGGGCTGGAGTTGTCCCATGTTGTCATCTAGGCAGCTAGTACACAGGTTCTTAGCCTGCAGTTGGGTATTTAGCCTGAATATATTATTGTTCCTGTCAGCTGTAATGGATTGGCATGCACCAAACGTTGACTGCATCCACTCACTTGGATTGGGTGGAATATATCAGAACTGCTCAAAGCTTTAGGCCCAAGTCAGCCAGGTTCTTAAGCACCTGACTATCCTTTAAGCATGTGAATAGTCTCTGAAAAGTAAATGAGACATGTGGTGTGGTTGAAGTTGGACTTATGATTCAGTATCTTGCAATGATTTTACCTTCTAGTGGTTAGATACCTGAAAAGAGGATAGAAGTTAGTGACTCTCCATTAGCTTTCAGCAATAATGTTAGCTCAAGAGGTAGAGCCTTGTGATACTGATGCTTTAAAATTCTGCAGGCCTTAACCTTTTGTTATTTTTCATCTAGGGGAAGCATGGTATCTGGAGTTGCACAATCAGAGAGGGTCTTGCTCCTTCCCATTAATTGTGACATTTAAAAATTGCTGAATTTAAATGACATCACATTATTCAAAGACCAGAGCACAGTCAACCTGAGATTGGCAAATCATTATAGCTTCAAGATGTGACAGAAGTACCAGTGAAGAATTGTGCTCACAGTCAGCTCCTGCAGACTCAGAAGACACCCTGGGAGTTTGGTATTTTACTTGGATTGAGAAAACATAATTACTCTGCCACCAAAAACCTCCAATTCTATTTGTATAACATGGTCCGGGCTTAAGGATTGTCTGCCTGACCTCTGTGTAATGTTGCAGTAATGAGGATGGTCACAATAGAAGGTTTCCCTCTCCTTTAAAATGTGGTCATACTCTGGAAAGTTATTTGTGCAAATGGCATAACTGCTTTCCATGTTCACTGTATTTCAGTGACTCAATCTCATGTGTGCTCAGTTTAAAAAAAAAAAATAGAGCCTGATTCACGTCGGCCTTTCTGCAGTCTTATGCTGGTTTAATGCCATTTAAATCAACAGAGTAAAGCCTGCAAAAAACTAGAGTAATGCAATTTTGAATCAGGCCCAGAATTTTTCTAACTGTCAAAGTTGCAAACTGAGTTTGGGCTGTGAAGAACAAGCAGTATTCACTCCGGCTTGTGCATCATCACCAGTATCAAAGATTTTGCAATTCAGAAGGCGTTCATAATTCTGTTGTAGCTGCACAAGTTCTGTTGTAGCTAATACAGAGCCCAGAGGTCATTCTCACAGGGGTGTATGGATTCTGCAGTGCTAACAGAAGTAACATGTAGTAAACACTTGTTTTGTTATTTTGTGACTCAAAATACAGACAGGGAACAGATCTGCTGAGTATGGAGATGCTATTTCTACAGTTACTTTTCTTACCATTGTCACACTCTAATCACTGTTCTTTATCTTGTCTACCTTAGGGTTTACGTTGCCCCCCATCACCATAGTATCCGAGTGCCTTACATGTAAAATCAGTAGCAATAGTTTAATCCCTAGAGGGCTTCCTGGGGTCTTCGGCATGTCTCCCTTTTTGGGTAAAAGCTCTGCTAGGAATATGAACAAAGCAAGTTAACCTATAAATCTACTGTAAACCAACATGGACTAGGTGTGTATGCAAAAACACAGGGGACTCTAGAAGAGAAAAGAGATGAGCTAGATGCATATTAATCAGAAGGCAAAAAACTGCATATACAGGATAAAGACTTGAGACTAACTCTTCTTAATATATGTAGAGAGAAAGTATGTGTGTGTAAGAGCTGGGGGGCTTTGTCTTCACCGACACACAGGTTGTTTTACAGCAAGATAACTAATATGTGATAGCTATCTTCCCGTAAAATTCTAGTGCAGACAAGGCATCTGTAGTGTCTACAGCGACGTAGCTAGGCAAGCTCAGTACTATATTCCCTGCCTCTCCTAGCTGGCCTCATGATAAAACTAAAGTGCCTTGTTTTTACTGTGGGATAGCTAATGCACATAGGTAAAAACACACCTTTTTGTGTCAGCGAAGACATAGCTAAAGAGAGAGAGAGAGAGAGCTCGCAAGCATGTGCTGGCAGGGGCACAAAGACGATGTGCATTCATGTGTGTGACACCCCTTCCAGCCCGCCTTGTTGCTGTTGATGGGATTACCAAGGGAGCCATTACTAGTCCAGAGTAGAAAGAGAGACACCATATGTGACTTTTATGTATTTTCTCTAGTAAAATAACACAAAGTATTACACAGAACGGGGCTGTGCACAATACTATAAAACCCAATCACAAACACACCCCACGAAATGACTAGGAACTAAAATTCCCATTCTCAACTGTTCCGTGACACTTCCTGAAATTGAATAATTTTTATTGTGTTGTTTAGAGTGTTCCATACAGAAGCTATAGCACCTAAATGAATGTCCTCACGATAACTCCCTAGCAGCCCATGGATACCACTTCCATGCATCTTTTATTACAAAGCAAGCAAAAGTGTATGGGCAGAAATCACACGAATGAAGCACTTGAATTACTTTGTGTGTGTGTGCTTGAGAGAGAGAGAGAAGGCTTGCGTGTGCACGCACACACTCATCCTTTCAAACAATCACACAGACACTCTTCATGAACAAAACATTTGAAAGATACTCTGCTTGGTTGGTTTGCATTTCATAGAATTTTACACAGCTCTGTTCTGTGTGAAGCTTTGTCATTTTACTAGAGAAATAATACAACTAAAAGTACCTACTTTTTCCGGGCATGTCCAACGAGAACACCTCCTGCTTTCTCTTGGGGATACTCTCTGTACGTTACATCATTTGGCCCTGTATAATGGTGACTTTCTCTGTAGCCTAGATTAGATGTGGCTCCCACTGCAATTCGCATTAACCCCAGTCTCTGCTCTGGCCAGGAAGGGGCCTCTAGAGAATTGCAAATGTTCCCTCTAGCACTGAGTGTATGGCTTCTCTAGTGCTTAGCTAGCTCCTACTGGCTTGAGACCAAGGGACCAAACTCACGTTCCTTGCAAGATCTGTAATGCTAAGTGGCTGCTGGGCCAACTCCTGAGACTTTCTTGGAGTGTCTGTTCTACTGATCATTTACCTAAACCCTTTTCACACATTCATAGTTCCTACTGAGGGAGAGATTTGACTGTGAAGCAGTGACTCATTTGCACTGCAGAGCTGTTTACATGTTCTGCGTATGCCATTACTTAATGGTAAATATCAGAGAAATTCTTATTTTTGTAGATAGAGCAGCAAAGGTTATTTCTGGGTATGCAATTTAAATCCAGGATGATGTGTACAAGTTTCTCAGCCAGCGCAATGTGACATGGCATTGTGCACAAAGTTCGTTGCATCAGCCCATGGAAATCAGGCAGAGAGAAGGAACAACTCTCCTGTTAGGATGGGAACAGGATCACGTTATATGCAGATGATGGAGAAATTATTGCAATTAAAAACAACCCCTTGCCCCCCTCCCCCGAAAAAAACCACCCAGTGCTGTATCATCCATTTGGTGGATTGTGTAAATGCAAGTCCTGCAACAAATGAAAAAAACGAAAATGTTTTGAGTGTCTAGCCCTACTAAACATAATGTGTTAAACTGAGAGAGGTTTTCTCCAGGTCTGTAAGAGCTGTAAATCTGTAAGGATTACATTTAATTTTTTTTCTTCAATTTGAGAAATAGTTCTGACACCAATGTTAAACTAGAAAAATAGAGGAAAAACTCAGATTGAATTCTTGGCTCTGCTTAGCCCTCTGCATTGACGAACAAGGAAATTCCTCAAATCCCTGTGCACTGTGGCCCCCTGCTAACTGTGTCGTGAGGGTCCAAAGAGTCTTATCTAACCTCCATTGGCTAAGGAAGGTTGCCACAAAGCAGGGCCTGGAGGGATGAGAGGAAGATGGGAGCTCTCTGTTGAGAACTGATAGAGAAAACCACCTTTTGATAATAAAGACTGAGAATTTCAGAAGTGACGATGATTTGGGGTGCCCAGTTTGAGTCCTCTCAAAAGGGCCTGATTGTCAGAGGGCAAGTTGTCATCACTTCCTTAAATCAGGCCCCTTTGAGGTCCCCAACTGGGTATCCAAAACCGCAAGTCACTTTTGACAATCTTGGCCAAAGGCTGTGGGGAAAGTAGGAGGGAACAGGGGAGGAGAGACTAGCTTTGAGATGAACAAATTGACTTAAAAAATTATTTATTTGAATAAATAAAGTGAATTCTTGACATTTATGCCATTGAAAGGTCTGAGGTTGGCAATGGGGGGTGGGGGGAGACTGGATGTCCTCCTGCTGGGTACAACCTGGGGAGCAGTAGCACAAGCTTCCCACACTCCTCCACCAGTGTTACCTCATCCCTGTTCTGTAGGGACTAACTCAGAGGGTGTCTCCAGTCAGTCCTTATGCCTCTTGGGTGCCTGTTATGGAGACACGTAGCAGTAAGGTACCCAAGGAACAGCATACACAGGTCCAAGCAACAATAATAAGATTTGCTCATGTAACTGCCAATGCATTAAAAATAAGAAGTATTGTCTCATCCAATCTGCAGGATTCTGAAATGTTACTTCCTTTGGTAAGAGTCTTCTCAGATGTGACTCAAAAAATATCAGATACTTTTTTGCGTTGCTTGTTTGTGATTTCTGTATGTAACAAAAACTATCCTCTTTTTGCTGTACTGAGAACCAAGAGCACAATTTCATTAGTACAAGCTAAGTGAAAATTACTTGACTGTTCATTTCTGTCACTGGAAAATGTCTTCTCCCACCTTAAATAAACCTCTCTGCCATAGGTGTTTTGAGGGAACAGTGTCTGAAATGCAGTTCTTGTGTTAGTTTCATAACTGTGTGTTAGTTTTTATGTTTACAGACTGGTAAATTTGTTGTTTCTTTCTAGTCATCAACGGTCACACACCATGTTTGCGGCTGTTGCTGGAAGTTGCAGACAACCCTGATGTGACAGATGCCAAAGGACAGTATGTTTTTTTTTGTTTTGATACAGTACTGTGATATGAATGACAGCTCCATAAATTGCTCACAGCATCGGTACTTATACTGTATACAATACTTCTACTGTATATAGTACTGTATACATCTCCTGCACCACTCCAATTTTTCCTCATAGAATTTGACAAACCTTACAAAGTACACATTCAGTTGATCAAAGCCATGGAATAAACATTAGCAAGGGGGAAACATTATTTATTAATTTTAGATTCTACCTCAATCTTTATGCAATTCTTCTGAGATGTTTAAGGCTAAATTCAGGTAAAGGTTAAATCCAGTTAAAAATGGATCAGTTTCTGAGCTGTTTCTAGGGAGACTCTCACCCCTCCCAAAACATTGATATCTTAGGACATACTTGGCCTTTTGGGACAGCGAATTTGAACAGAGTATTAGTTGAATGTGACACTTAAATTGGAGTTGATGTACATGATGATGGTTTTCACTTCTCATTAAAGGTAGTTACGGAGGGAGGATGCAAGTATATTCTAAATGTGGAAATTTTGAATAGCTTTGAAATTTCACCTGGGAAAACACAGACAGATGAATGCCATGTTTTTAAAGGGCATCAGTTTCAGTCCCTGAACCATCACCTTAAAGCAAAAGGAGAATAAATCCCATTTTGAAAAGAAGTGGAAGAAATATTGCTCCAGTGTCTGGCTGAGGGATGATTGGTGCAAATGAGATACTGAATGCAATTGGCTTTCCCTCCCTTATTAAACAATTCTGCCCAGGATTTTTTAAAGAATTTAAAAATTACATAAATAGTTACCTTAATAATTAGAGGGGGTGATTACACAAGTGAGCTTCATGGTTTATCATGAGGCTGATATTCTGCTGCGGGCTGCTGATAATCAAGAGTTATTAAAGAACAAATTTTTAACATGGACTGGCTTGAACAATGCTGCAATATAAACTGCCTACAAATCAGATATGTGTTTCTCTGTTAATAATGATTTTGTTGGTTGCATTGCTTAACAATAAAATTGGACAAACAGTACCTTAATTTGGGTTATATAGATGAATATAGGGCATGAAGATGGTGGTAGAGAAAGGAAGTGTGGGGAAAATGGCAGGAATTCCTGGTGCCCCTGATCCCCAAAGGATAAGTTAAAAGTGGAAAAATGCCATGTGTTCTTAAAGCTGTGATTAACTTCTTATTTTCTAGAACCCCACTGATGCTAGCTGTGGCATATGGGCACATTGATGCTGTTTCCTTGTTACTTGAAAAAGAAGCATCTGTAGATGCAGCCGATCTCCTGGGATGCACAGCTTTACATCGAGGGGTGACTATTTAATTTTATGACCCTTAACTATGCATATTAACTTGATGGTTATGGCTTTTCTTTTATGAACAAAGGGGTATTAAACTGAGAGATGATTGTAAATAACTGAAAATATTGGGAAGGCTGGGTTAAAGAAGTATGTAATAAGTTTTGAGCGGGAGGCAATGAGATTTGGGGTAGATATAATCTCTTCTCGGAGTAAGCTCCTCAGTCAAGATGTAGTTGCTGAGAGAGCTGATAGGGTTACATGTAAATATGGCCATGTCGTGAACAGTTTTCCAAAAGAGTCCTGGAAATATCTGTATAAAATAGAGACCATTGCATAAATCTTCTGTTCCATACTGATAACAATACATGAACATGATTAAAATACTGTACGAGATAAGCAAATCAATGTCAGAGGCGGCAGATGTGATAGTAGTAGCTGGATTACTGCAGCAGCTTTCTAAAATATGTGATATTTTTGGTAGTATTGTTATTGCTCCTCCCTCACCCTTTCTTCCCTAGTATTTGTGGTTTCATTCTTGATTGACCCCCATTCAGTAAGACTCAAAGAGGATCTTTAGTACTCAGGCACTCAGGGGAGCAAGTAGCTTCTCACCAATTTCCTGGACCCCAACCTTTCCACCCAGTATTCAAAAGATACATCATGTATCTCACATATCCTTTGCCACAGCACTGACACTATATCAACCTGCTGATTCACTTCTTTGTTATCAGATTATGACTGGGCATGAGGAATGCGTTCAAATGCTGTTGGAACAAGAAGTATCTATCTTGTGTAAAGACTCCAGAGGCAGGACACCTCTACATTATGCAGCAGCTCATGGTCATGCCACTTGGCTGAGTGAATTACTGCAGATGGCACTGTCAGAAGAGGACTGTAGTTTCAAAGATAATCAAGGTTATACACCATTGCACTGGGCTTGTTATAATGGTAAGATTTTCTCTTTTTATACCTTTTGCCAAACTCAACTGTGGGTTTAGTGTTAGGAAGTAGAATAGTAAAATAGCTAGCAGCATAAAAAGTTTGAGATGTAGATTCTCTCCTTTTGCCTTTTGAAGATGTAGCAAGAAATTGCATCATTTATCCTTCAAGTCAGAAGGCAGGGAGATACCAGCAAAACAGCAACCTTGCTTCAGAGTCAGCCACTAGGTGCATGCCTCAATCATGATGCACACTGGAGCCATCCTTTGGAGGCTGGGCATGAAATCTGGCATAACTCCCAGTGACATCACTGAGGCAAGGATTCCATCCTACAAGAGCCACCTCCTGTACACTGGTGCATGAGACTATCCCCCCCGTTACTGTAATATGCACAGTACAACAGGCTGGCATTAGTGTCTTCTCATTAGGGTGGTTTGAGACTGTAAGTCGAACACTAAGTTTCTGAGTACAGAGTGATAGATGGCTGACCAACTCTGAGGATCTAAAAGACACTTTTGCAGAGTGTCATAGCACAATGTGAAAACACAAGAGACCTTTTTTTTTTTAAAAAAAACAACAGCGTCCAAATGAGAGATCGGTCTAGTTCGCAGCACCTCAAAAAGTATCTCATGCTCCTTAAGAAGCATAAGTTCTCATGCATAAGAACTTACGTATGCAGTACAGCCTAGCTTATTTCAGATGCTAAAATGCAGTGCACATGTGACCTTAATATGAAAATGAGCTATTCTCCTGCTGTTTATAACAATAAATCATCTGATCTCTTGTAGGTAATGAAAACTGCATAGAGGTACTATTGGAACAGAAATATTTCCGCAAATTTAATGGTAACAATTTCTCTCCATTGCACTGTGCTGTGTAAGTAGAAGTATCAATATTAAATCTGGATCTTTTGCTTTAGGATGTATCCAGAAAATGAGTAGTATGAAAACAATAAAGTTATCTGGGTGTAGAGATAATAGTACTAGCAAATGATTTTTAGATCCGATGATGATGTCCATACATATCCTTGTGGTGAAAAACTGGTGCTATCAAGAGCCATATAAATTACTGCCATTTTGAGTGAGTTTGTTACAAGTTTCATCTAATGGCTTGAAGCTGCACTCTCATGATTACAGGGCAAGCTGCACCTCTGTCCCCTTTCTGGCCTGAGTGCAGCATTAGAGAAAAAAGGATTTAAAACAAGTTTACAGAAATATTTACCTTACCTCAAGTTCAACCATTCCCTAATGGTGACCTAAGCAGGCTTCGCTTGCTGATCAACCCCCAGCAGGCTTCTGGGGCTGAGGCTGGTTTCAGTCTGATTCCCTTGAGCGCTCTCTCCCCCAAGAGAGAGCATCCCTCTTTAAACCCTGCTACAGTTCTTTGTTCTTCTGTTTTGCCAGGTTCTGGCCATTCCTGGCCAAAACCAGTTTTTGTAGGTTGGCTGAAGACGGAGGCAGAATCATCAAAATTCTGGCATTGTGCCTTAACACTCTGAAGTGTTTACTAATAGATGGCTGCCTTGAGCCATTCTTCTCCTTCCTACCTGCATTTAAGACAGACTTCTATTCGTACATATTCATACAGTAAACATCCCAATAAGCAGGCAAACATACACTGTCAGTAAATTACCACAGGCCAGCTCCAAATCTGCCTGTCACACTCAGAAAAAATTAGCTCAATTTAGGGCAAAGCATATGCAGTATTTTGGGAGAATGTGCTTTTTGAGTGCGGTAAGCCAGCAGAAAAATCAATAAGAATTACAGAATCAAACACAAACATTCATGATTCCTGCTGAGGTTTAGAATTACTGACTTATGAACTCTTCATTCTACTGGTAGTATAATTATCTTCTCCCAGAAATAACTGATGTGCGGATCCTATATAAAAACCCACTTAAAATAAAAACTGGCTGAAACTTGATACATAAAATCTGAACCCCAAATGGTCACTTTTTAAAAAAAAGATGGTCTCCTTCTCCCCAGTAGAGCAATCCGGAGCCAGGGACCAAAACTCAACAAGCTCTTCTTTGGGTTTAAGATAATAGAGGTCATTGTCATCCATAAAATGACAGCATTTATATAGAAATAGTGGCTTGACTAAAAGGTTACTAAAAAGTGACTGTATTCTATGAAAAAATAGTTTTTTATATTAACTATAAAGTGACATATGCTGAATGTAATAATTACAGTTAATATTTTTAAACATTAAAGACTTCATTGAAGACTAAGGGGATAACATTCTTCTCAGCTTAAAGGCCTGTTGGATCCATGAGACAAACTGCTTGGTGTTGCAATGTTTTGCCAAATACAGACTGCCATTTCTCTCCTCTCGCCCCCTCCCCCCCAACCTCTCAACTCCTTGGAAATAGTGAGACCTTTTGAATACTTTAAATGTTGAAAAAAGTTACTTTCACTTAAGCCCACACATATGAGCATTGCCTAGGCTCAGATATGTGATTTAAGTTTAAAGTAATTTAAAGGGTTTTAAGAAGTTTTGGGGAGTTCACTCAGACCCACTAGTTCAAATTTACTTCTGAGAAGGATTCCCCGTAGCCATTTTAAACCTTGACAAGTGTTCCAGTTGAATATGAAGGTGGGTATTTGGTTTTTGTTTTGTTTTGCTTTAAGGTTTAATCAGTGCATTGAACTTTCAGCTTGTTTTGTGTTGGCAGAGCTCCGTTGAAGGGATCGGCTGTGCGCAGCCATTGCAGGACCAGTGCCTATTTTTCTTTTGTGATTCAAATCCAAAATAGTAGCTGCAATTTGTTTGTAATGGAGCTACACTGATTTATAGCAGCTGGGATCAGGGCCATATTTTTAAAGCAAAAATTAATTGGGACACATTACAAATATACAGAAAGGAATACTAATGTACTGTCAGTTGGGGAAGGGAGTGAAGTGTGTATGGCAGAGTGGAAAACAGTTAGATTTTTTTCCTTTTAAAGAATTGTTCTTTCCTTTATAGGATAAATGATCATGAAAATTGTGCTTCACTGCTCATTGGGGCCATAGATGCCAGCATTGTCAACTGTAAAGATGACAAAGGAAGGTAAGAGTTCAGTTTCTTGAATAGAATGCATTTCACCTTCATAAATCAGTCTAAGATCATAATTTTTGCTTTGTGCAACTAATCTACATCTGGACTAAAATTTGTCAGACCAGCTCCTGATGACACAGAAGTTGAACTTTAACAAAGGAAGTGGTGATTCACTTCTAGAGAGAATATTAATTATTTTACATTGCTACCATAATAAATATTACTTTGTTTTCTTTAAAATGCCCAGGGCTTAGGGCTGTTCACCAGAACCCAGTATGGTGGTAGTTAGGCTTTATTTTACCCCCTCTTCTTAGATTGCTGTTTATGGTTAAAAGAAAATAGTAGACTCCAGTTTGGGGCAAATAAAAAAGCTGAGTTAATTCCTAGTTGTAAAACATAAAAATTGTAAGCTAAGAGTGCACTTGATGGGGGTTATGAAATAAGAATAGAACTATATATGCGTCCTCACATAGGCCTTGATTAAGCAAAAGCATTTAAGCACATTCAGTTTTGCAGGACCATAATTAGTAAGATTGAAAAGTATTTAACTTCTGAAAGCACTCTTATTAAACAAAATACACTACTGACTCTGAATGACAGTTGGGGTCAACTGGGTCATGTACATATCCAAATCTTTAATTTATTTGGGGCAGTGAGAATCTCCACAGTGTATTTTTGTGTGTGATGGGTTTGGTCACAGAGACCCCCTTGGGACTGCCACCTGATGTGCTGAAATTACCTCTGAGCCTGTTTTCCCTGATGGCTTAGGACTCCAGCACCCTGCCTTGTTGAGCCAGACACACTAGCCTGCTGCAACACAGACCCGGGTCTGAACCACACCCCCAAAGCTGCAGGCTTTAACTGAAAACCACTCAGCAGATTACCTATCTCCAGCACCCAGACACCCAGTTCCCAATGGGATCCAAACCCCAGATAAATCCATTTTACTCTGTATAAAGCTTATACAGGGTAAACTCATGAATTGTTCGCCCTCTATAACACTGATAAAGAGATATGCACAGCTGTTTGTTCCCCCAGGTATTAATCACTTACTCTGGGTTTGTTAATAAACAAAAGTGATTTTATTAAGTATAAAAAGTAGGATTCAAGTGGTTTCAAGTAATAACAGACAGAACAAAGTAAGCTACCAAGCAAAATAAAACAAAACATGCAAGTCTAAGCCTAATACATTAAGAAACTGAATACAGGTAAATCTCACCCTCAGAGGTGTTCCAATAAGCTTTTTTCACAGACTAGACTCCTTCTTTGTCTGGGCCCAATCCTTTCCCCTGGTACAGTCCTTGTTAGTTCCAGCTCAGGTGGTAACTAGGGGATTTCTCATGACTGGCAGCCCCCTTTTTTCTGTTCCATCCCCTTTTATGGCTCTGGCCCAAGGCGGGAGTCTTTTGTCTTTCTGGGTCCTGACCCCTCCTTCTAAATGGAAAAGGTTTAAGATGGATTCTAGTATCGTGACATGGACTCATGTCACTGTAAGACCTCATTCTTCATTACCTAGGTCAGTACACAGGAAGGCTTGCAAATAAATAAACCCATTCACAACCAATTGTCCTAGTTAATAGGAGCCATCAAGATCCTAAGCCACCATTAATGGCCCACACTTTGCATAATTACAGTAGGACCTCAGAGTAATACTTCATATTTCTCGCTTCAGATACAAGAATGATACAGTCATACAAATATGATGAACACACTCTGTAGATTATAAGCTTTGTAATGATATCTTACAAGAGACCTTTTGCATAAAGCATATTCCAGTTACATTATATTCACACTAATTAGCATATTTCCATAAAATATATGGAGTGCAACGTCACACTACGTATTTATTTAGTTTTGTTAAAGTTGTATAATAATTGAATTGCTGCCCATTGCATGCTCTGGTTACCCTTACAACAAATAAAATGGTGGTCATGTAATTAAAATTAAATACCTCACTCTCAAAGTTCTCCAGATAACAATAAAGCTAAAAAGCAAAACAAAACAAGAACACCCAATCATCAGACACTGCTGGAAACAACTCCTGCCCCCCCAATTTTCTTTTCCCCAAATGTCTTAGTCTTATCATGTGGAGACAGAGAACCCATCCTTAGAGTTGTGGGAGCCTCTCAAAATTAACATAAGCTACAAACCTTATAAAATCACCGCTACGCTCTACAGTAATGTTGTCAAACATTATGGGTTACAGTACTGTTACTGCAGTATTCAGGTCATTACTGTAAGTAGAATACTGTAGCATTTTTTTAATAATGGGAAGGCCAGATCCAAATTTTCCTTACATTTTATCTACATCACAAGCTTATTCAAAAAATCAGGAATAATAGGGAGGACTGCTAGTTTTTTCCATTGTGCAGTACGTTCTGTTAAGTTAAACATCCTGTTTTTATGAGCTTGTCCACAACTCGATCAACCTGATGCTTGCCGGTTTTAGACTTTTCATTGTACAAACACTGAGGATGCAACTGTTACCTTTATTGCTTATAGGAGAGTAGCATCCTAACTTGCCTTGTTGAGAGTTTTGAGTTTCAAGTTTCATAGGAAAAAAGCTTCAAAACTTCTTGTATTGTTCTGCTTAAGGCTACAAGGAACAACAATATTGTAATTCTTTATAGATCATTTAATATCTTAAAGCTATGATCATGCTGTTTTTTCTCTCAGAACTCCACTGCATGCGGCAGCCTTTGCCGATCACGTGGAATGCTTGCAGCTTCTTTTAAATCACAATGCACTGGTAAATGCTGCAGATAATTCAGGGAAAACACCACTTATGATGGCAGCTGAAAATGGACATGCAGGTGCAGTAGGTAGGTACCTACTTGCTTCTGTAAATCGTGAAAGAAAATGAAGGCTACTATACTTACCCATCCAAGTGCTTTATCATTTTACCCCCCCCTTGGGGATTATTATTAAAATACAGAGAGATACTAAGAGTACATACCTAAATGTGTGTCCATCTATTTTATATAAGGGTAAAAGGAAATTTGCTTCATATTTTTAAAAAGTCTCGTGTTTATTGCACCCAGAATTCTTATGTCCGTTGTTTTTACTTCACTTTGCAAATAGTTTCAATAATGGATAAACCATGCCCATTTTTCTGCCAAGTCGTGTAGCGTGTGATTAAAAAGTGCTCTTGGTATTCATTCCTTCATTTTTTTTATTTCCCTGATTCTACAGGGCAATAGAATCTCCTTCTAGCAGAGTAATCTTTTGTAGTTAAATTATTAAAAGGTGTGTATTTTGAAGCACAAAATACTGTTTTGAATGGGCAACTGTAAGTTGAGTCTGGACTTATTTTTTCTAAAAACCCTATAGCAACTGTTAACTGATACTTTCTCTCCAGGCTTGACTGCGTGGCCCACATCCTGGATTGCTACACCCATTATCTCCCCCAAAGATATGAGTCAGCAGAACCCACTTAAACCTTTCAAAGCAGGATCCACAGTTGTTAACTGGGTGGACTGTTTCAGGCCAAAACTGCCATTCTGATGCTGCAGATTTCATCAGTCAAATTAAAATACATACAGTATTAGAATACATTTGAACTGACAGTTTTGGGTAAAATGAACATTTAATTAACAGTTTTCCATTTTCAACCAGCTGTTAGCTTTGGTTTGATTGCTGATTAACTGCACAAATTACAATTCGTTCATTGATAATTTTTCCTCCACATTTGTATGGTTTATATAGAATAAGGCTCTATTTCACCATGTTCAGTACTGTGTGCACACATGGAGACTGGAGTTAATTTTCTCCTTTGCAGTTTGCATGTGCATCAATCGGTAGTACTTATCCCATGGTATTTGTTTCTGTATTTCAGATTTTTTGGTGAACAGTGCCAAGGCTGATCTGACTGTAAAGGATAAGGACTTGAATACACCCTTGCACTTGGCTAGCAGTAAAGTATGTTAAGGAACTTTGTAGACTACCTGCATGCGCACACACACAGACTCGCATTATGTATATTATATATGTGTGCATTGAAGAGGTATTTAAAACAAGGTGTTGGCAGTGTATTGAAGACATTCATCTCTCAGGCCAATTAAATCCTGAGTGCAATGAAGCTGTGATATACACTGTCTTGGGCAGGGAAAGAGGAGGGAGGAAATGTAGTAGAGTTGACTTGCTCTTCAGCCTATCCAGCAAGGTTACAGTAATTTGAGAGGCAAGACAAATATAGGCTGCTGTATCTTACTACTTTTGAGATACTGGTAACAGGAATAAGGAAATATTTCTAATGTGAAGAAGCTATGAGACCAAAGGAGAACTTACTGAATAGTCTCACTGTAGTGCAGTATAATACAGATTTACATAATCTCTCGGATTTCTGTGGAAAGGGACACAAATTTCCCGTTCAAGATGATGCCAAGATCTTAAAAAAGTTGAGGCAGAGATCAGGTTTGGACCTGGTTTTCTTTTCCAGGCTCTGTGTCCACGTATTTAGTAACCTCAGTAGGCTTCACCTCCTCTCTCCCCTCTCTCCTCCTATTCTGCTGCTGCTATTACCTGGCTTAGCAAGAAAGAAATGCCCTCATTCCCTTAACAGGTTTTTCTTTTTCAATTGCACCTTTTAATAGATGGGAGTCTAGTAGTGATCAAGTTTGTTCAAGGCCTCTTTGCTGTACCCCCTGCCCCCAAATTTTTTTTATAAAGATACATCAGCTATATTTATTTGTTAGCATATCATATCAGCTGTTTACTATGGTACCTTTGGTGCTGGACCACCTTCAAGGAATGGATACCTGTGCTAGACACCTATACCCCAAAATCCCAACCCTGCAACTTGTTCTGCCCAGGCTGACCCCTGCACTCATGCAGAAGTTGCAGAATTGTGGCCCAATTCTGCATTGTTTAATAAAATCTTTGGACAGTTTAATTGTCAGTAGTGCCCTTATCATACAGGGGGAAAATACTTCTTCAGCTATTTAATTGAAAAAAATTATTTAAAGTTTCTTTGCCTAATTAAAATGCATAAGCAATCAGGCATTTAAAGGTCAAAGAAGTACTATTACTAGTGCTAAATATTGCTTATTTATTTAAAAAAAATATTCACAATCAGTTAACTGCTCTTTCAAAAGATCACTGCTGTTTCATGAAGACATGGATTCAAATTCAGCTTAAAGTAGGGTCTATATTTATAAGGCATGCAGTGTTTTAAAGGAAAAAAAGCCACAATTGGCACATTTGGATTACTTAAAATTCACCCAGTAATAATGGTAGGGATTGCACTGTGTGTCTCCTGGCCTTTGAAATGCATCAAGTATGCACCCTTTTATAAACTCAGAAACATGTTTGTAATTCTAAATGCATTTTTAAATTTGGATTTGTATTTTTTATTTATGTTGCCTCAATTTTAAAACCCTCTGCAGATTAACATTTATTTATTTTTCTTTTTAATATTAGGGTCATGAAAAATGTGCCTTGTTAATACTGGACAAGATCCAAGAACAGAGCCTTATTAATGCAAAAAATAATGCATTGCAGACGTAAGTAAATGCTGAAATAATTTTACTATTTATTCTCTTGTGCTTTTATGTATTGTTTTTACCAGAAAATTCAGATTTGGAATTTCAAATTATCATTACTTAGATTTTTCATAAGTGTGTAATTAAAAAAATAATAACTGTAAAATGTTTCATTGTGGTAGAATATCTGAAAACTGTTGAATTTTGGAATATCTTGAGGAATATAATCAGCTATACTTAGTCCTGTGGAGCATGTAGTATAAGGTGTTTCTGTGAAGATCAGCTGCTTTAGTCTTTTAAAAACAAATATAGGTTTTCCAGTCAATAAAGCAGAAATCTTAGCCTGTTGTGTTGAATATGACTCCTAATGTCTTAATAAATAAATAAATAAATATTATCCCTTGCAGATTAAACAAAGTAAGTTAAAGAAGAGCAACACTTTTTTTTCCTGCTATGGTCTTTAGGAAAGTACTAGGGTCTGATCCACACATTGTCGGGCCACACCAAAAGAAAGATTCGAGGCAGTGGATGTGGCTTAATTAGGCTGCAACTTTGTTCACTTAAAATATCTGGAAGTACCCAGCCATAAATTGTACAGTGCAGGTCATCATCAGTTCCTTAATCACTTCCACATAATCCCCAGCCAGGTTGCACCTCGCCTCCTTTCCTCATATGAGGGCTAAAGGGGGGGCTAGAAAAGGAGGAGAGTTGGCTACCCACTGTACCAGATGTAGGAGCCCCTAACCCTCCTCCTTCAGCTCCCTAAAGGGATGCTTTCCTTCTGATCCTTTTCCAATTCATTTTATGCAATATCTGTAACCCTTCCATTGGTTCCACTGGACATCTGTCATGCATTTTATATACTAAATTGTGACATTATAACCTAATCTCCCAACCTTGCTCCACCTCACGGGGTCCCAAACCTACTGTGGGAAAGGCCAAAAAAAACAAACAAAAAACAACAAAACAAAAAAACCTCACCCTGTCTTGACCAACCTGGTGGTAAGGGAAAAATTCCTTTCTAGCCCCCAAGGAAAGAAGGGCAACTAGTGTAATGCCCACAATGGGTCCTGAAGAAATGTGGTCCTTTTTCAGATTTTATGGATGAGAGGATGGGTGCTCCTGGCTCGATCTGATGAAGGAAGGCTAGCAATAACTTTTTATTCTTCTTCGAGTAGAGTCCCTGTGGGTGCGCCAATTCACATGCGAAGCTGTTTGGTAGCAGTGCCCATTTGGCCTATGTGTGCACCACACACATTTAGGCTATATGGGGCTGCGCAGGCGAACTGCCCTCAGTTCCTTCTCAATCACCTACTGCAGGGTCTACTGCAGTGGTTCTCAATCTATTTACCATTGTGGGCCACATCCAATACTACCTGTATAGCCCTGAGAATGTCACATGGCCCTTAGCTGTGTGCTGAATGGGCTGTAAGTTGAGAACCACTGGTCTACTGTGTGTCTGTTCTCTTTAGTATTCAGCAGTTAGTTAGTTAGCTAGTTAGTATATAGGTAGCTATTTTATATGGTTTATAGTTCTTGGAACAGCTGTCCCCCCCCCCCTTTTTTTTTTCCTTTGCCTTAGGAAAAAATGTCATTCATAGATATAGTTAGAGATTTCAACTATTTAGGAAATCATGTTTTTGTTCTTTTGCTTGGGGATGCTGGGGTCCCAGGGATTTAAAAGGTGCTTCTCCTGCAGTGAGGTTGTCCTTATCAGTGACATTCATTCTCAGAGCCTCTGCTGTTTGGGAGATGCTCATATACCCAGTAAGTGCAAGATCTACACTTACTTCAAGGGTAGATTCTGAAACAATAGGAGGAGGATGCTCCTAGCGATGCAACAAGCCTTAAGACCATCTTCAGATCCAGGGGCAGAGGACCTCTCTGTGCATAGGCCTCCCAGTATGACTACATCAACCTCTCGGACACCAGAGGCCGCTAGAGATGTAGGCAGTATCATGGCACTGATTCCATCCATGGCGCCAAAGACCTCACCAAAGGTAGCCTCAACATCTCTCTCTACACAGAAAGATGTAAAGAGTAAATCTCTGAGAAAGTCTCAGTCACCAGCATGTGCTTCGGAGAATAGCAGAAAAGCTCCAGTTCCCCTCAGAGGAGGCCCAGGACTCACAACACAAGCTCTTGGACATCCTACAGCGTAAGGAGTCTAGTCAAATAGCACTCCCAGTGAATGAGGCCATACTAGAACCAGCAAGAACTGAATGGCACATACCAGTTAGGTGTGCTCCTACACCTAAGAGGATGGAAAAGCGGTATTTTTGTCCCAGCAAAGGAAGTGGAGTTCTTGTTGTCCGACCCTGCCTCAGACTCCCTAGTCATCCAAACAGCCACAAAAAGGTCCAGCCAACAGCTCCCAAGGGCAACCTGTGCAGATAAGGAAGTCAAATGTTGAGGGGAGAAAAGTGTTTAATTCCATCAGCCTCCAATTTAGAATTACCAACTACCAGGACTTTCTGGCAAAATATTCTAAGTTCCTGAATTTTAAAGGCATGTTACCCCAGGAGGACAGGGCTCAATTTCAAGCCCTTATTGATGAGGAAAGATTAGTGGCAAGAACCTCATTACAGGCTTCAGTCAACACTGCCAATATTGCTTCGAGAGCTATAGTGATGTGCTGAGAATTTTAGCTACATTTTTGGGGTTCCAGGGAGGTACAGAACACTAGTCTTTTGAATAAGTCAGTGTTTTCAACCAGAAGATAGACAAGTCGTTGCACTCACTAAAAGACTCCCGGGCAATCCTCCATTCCCAGGGTGTATATAGACCAGCTCTGAAGAGGAAGTACCATAAGCAGTCTTACAAGCTGAGGTCTTTACCAGTGCTCTTATGAGCTATCTTGCAAACAGCAGAAGGTGCAAAAATAGACTGCCTCATCCACCTTTACTACAGCTGCCTGGCCTCCACCACCTGTCCCTCCCCATCAGCCAAAAGATACTTTTGATGGGACACTTGGGAGCTACGAACTAATGTTGATGCCATCTTCACCCAATTACGAGATCTCCTTTGGTGGACACATAGCACAATTTTCCCACATCTGGGGGCAATAACAAAGGATATGTGGGTGCTAGATATCATCCATTCTGGCTATTCCATTGGCTCCCAAACCTGCCAAAATTTCTTTCCCTGTCTCTCTTCAGAGACCATTCTCATGAGGAGATCCTACATTAGGAGTAAAATTCCTCCTCCAGTGGGGAGCAAGGAAAAGCAAAATCAAGGAAAAGGGTTGTATTCCAAATATGAGAAGGGTGGAGACCCATTCTCAACCTGCAGCAACTCAATATATTTATTTGCAAACTAAACTTCTGCATGGTTAGATTGGCATCAATAATACCATCCGTGGATAAAGACATATGGTTCACAGCTCTCAATATGAAAGATTTGTACTTTGACACTGATATTCACCCTTCGCACAGAAGATTCCTCAGATGTCTGGTGGGTCCCGACCACTGTCAATACAGGCTACTTTGGTTTGGTCTAGCAGCTGCATCCAGGGTCTTCACAAAAGTGTTTTCCATAACAGCAGCACAACTCAGATAGGATGATTCCACCATCTTCCTGTATCTAGACGACTGGCTTCTGAAGGGCAGGACATGTCCAAAACTCATGGCACTGACCTCATTGCTACTTTGTCTCCTAGCATCACTGGGAACCTTTGTGAACATGGAAAAGTCTGCTGTGACTTTGACACAGACTGCAGATTTCATAGAAGTGACCTTAGACTCAGTCAGAGCAAGAGCTTATCTCCCTATGGACAGATTGTAAGCCATGGGCAGCCTGACCGGTCAAGTTATGCACACGCTTGGACATCAGTCTGGATTTGTTTAACGCTCCTGGGTTGCTTGGAGTCATGTACTTAAGTAACTCCATTTGCCAGACTCTGACTCCATTGCCTGCAGGCTTGGCTTCGAACAGCATATATACTGAGCAAACACAGGATAAACATGGTAGTGACAATTCCCACCTTGATTATCATACACATTGTAAGGAGAGTGGTCACTTTAGATAAGCTATTCCAACAGGAGAGTGGGCTTGTGTGTGGTGGTGGGGGGGAAGAAAACCTGGATTTGTGCTGGAAATGGCCCAACTTGATTATCATGCACATTGTAAGGAGAGTGGTCACTTTAGATAAGCTATTACCAGCAGGAGAGCGGGGTGGGGGGAGGTATTTTTTCATGCTTTGTGTGTATAAAAAGATCTTCTACACTTTCCACAGTATGCATCCGATGAAGTGAGCTGTAGCTCACGAAAGCTTATGCTCGAATAAATTGGTTAGTCTCTAAGGTGCCACAAGTACTCCTTTTCTTTTTGCGACTACAGACTAACACGGCTGTTACTCTGAAACCTGTCATTATGCAAGGCACTGCATTTAGCCGTATGGAGTGGAAATCTATCAACTGCATGAAAAAACTTGTACAGATACAGACAGACATCATCTTCCTTTCCAAATGCAAACAGATGGACATCGTACCAAAAGGACTGAAGATAAAAAATCCATTACAATCTACATACCACACAGACTGTGCTGACAGCTTGTGCCACACGCTCTCAAAGAAACTGTGGAACCACCTGATCAACATCCTCTACAGCAAACAGGGAAAGATAAAGAATGAGCTCTCAAAAATGGATACTCTCATAAAAAACCAACCTTCCACACAAACTTCCTCGTGGCTGGACTTTACTAAAACTAGACAAGCCATTTACAACACACACTTTGCTTCTCTACAAAAGAAAAAGGACACTAAACTTTCTAAACTACTGCATGCCACAAGGGGCCACAGCAATGGTTCCCTCAACCCACCCAGCAATATTGTTAACCTATCCAACTATACTCTTAGCCCAACAGAAGCAGCTGTCCTATCTCTGGGCCTCTCCTTCTGCCCCTCCACCCCCACGAACATGATACAGTTCTGTGGTGACCTAGAATCCTATTTTCGACGTCTCCGACTCAAGGAATATTTCCAACATACCTCTGAACAACATACTAATCCACAGAGACCTCC